GCGCAAATATCGGCAGAGGTTCTTTGCAGCCTTTGTTGATTTTCGTAAAGCGTTCGACTCAGTCCATTGAGTTGCCCTGTGAGACATCCTGAGCCTTCGCGGGATCCCCCCAATGTTGCTGGACATCATGGCCAGCCTATACACTGGTACTGTGAGTGCGGTGCAGAGTGGAGGGAGAACCTTTGCGTTCTTCCCAGTTGATTCTGGGGTTCGCCAGGGGTGTGTTCTTGCTCCTACTCCGTTCAATGCTTGTATGGACTGGGTGTTGGGCAGGATCGTGGGCTCCAGCGGCTGTGGGGTGTCCGTTGGTGAAGAAAGATTTACTGATCTTGACTTTGCTGACGATGCCGTGATCTTAGAGGAGTCAATGGTGGCTCTGATTGGGGCTCTCGAGAGACTGAGCAAGGAGTCTGAGTGTCTGGGATTGCAAGTGTCCTGGATGTAGAAATGATCCAGGCATTTAATGACTTCTTAGACACAGCCATCAGTAGTGTGTCTGCAGGGAGAATGTCAACCTTGTTGAAAGATTTACCTACCTCAACAGCAACATTCATGTCTCTGATGACTCTTCCTATGAAGTCAGCAGACAGATTGGAAGAGCATAGGAGGTCAAGAGGTCGCTGGAAAGGGGTGCATGGTGCTGCTGATATCTTTGCAAAAGGATGAAGGTCCTGGTGCTCTATGGCTGTGAGACCTGGACGCTATCCAGTGAGCTGAGAGGAAGACTGGACTCCTTTGGTACTGCGTCTCTTCGGCGAATCCTTGGGTACCGCTGGTGTGACTTTATGTTGAACGAACGGTTGCTAGAGGAGTCCCGAATAAGGCACATTACCTGCATTGTGAGGGAGTGTTAGTTACGGCACTATGGCCATGTGACGCGTTTCCCTGAGTGTGATCCGGCTTGCAGGATCCTCATTGCTGAGGACCCAAGCGGCTGGACCAGGCCGAGGGGACGCCCACGTAACACCTGGCTGCAGCAGATGGATGGCCATTTCTAGAGGGTGGGACTGGACTGTGTATCTGCCTGGTGGATCACTGACTGGGATCCCGAGGAGTTTCGCTTTGCGGTGGGAGCGGCAACGCGTTGCATCAGAGTTTGCTCCCCGACCTGACCTGACCTCTGCTACTTAACTGACCAGGGGTGAGTCTCCCGAAGCCTTCTTAACGCTATGTCGTTCTTAAGTTCTGTGTTAAAAGATAGAACTAACGAACGACGTAGCATTAAGAAGGCTTCGGGAAACTCACCCCAGATCAATATCCCAGAAGTTTAATTGACTTGATGCTATACTCTGATTAAAATGTGTTCCTTTAATATTTTTGAGCAGTGTAGCTTGTCTGACATTGCCAGTGCCAGCAGTAAAACACTCTAGCCAGTTTATTAGCAGAATAACTGCAGAATAACTGCAGAATAACTGCATAGTAAATGAAAACCATGCTGCAGGTTTAATAAATCATATACTGTGGTGCTCGAGTGGCGAAGATGTCATGAGGTGGTCAGCAAAGTTCAGTTATTAACAGACTGTTTTATTGCGAGGTCCTTAGAAGGACAGCAGTACAACAAAGAGCAAGAACAAAGATAAATTCACACACAGACGACAAGCTTTTATGGAGACAAAAGTGGATACAGGCAGTAGTGTAATGAGTCTTACTCTAAAAACTTTTCGGTTTGGTTTTCAGCTTATAAAAATTTTAAATCCAAAGCAGATCAAAATGAATCCAACCAAAACCGAATACATATGAACCTTTTCTCTCACTTCTTCCTACATTCATTTTTGAACCTGTGGAGATGTGGGCAGGTTCTGAAAAGGCACCAAGCGAGAACCAGCCCAGCACTGGTTCCGTGTTGGTGGTAATGAGGCAAATGTAATGGTTTTTAGATACACCTGTAAAGCGAAGTGATACAGCTGATGTGAAATGTCCGAGTGCATTTATACTCTTATAACTGCACTCATGGAATACCTCTTGTCCAATCAGATTTCTTGGTCGGAATTAACTGTTGTATAATTTACCATAAACCACTCAAGTCACCCATCTGTGCAAGAATCTCAATTCAAGCCTGAAATGACTCTTACGACTCAGCTGTTATCTTCTCTTCAGGTTCATACTCACTGTTATTGAGTTCACAGCCTCTCTCAGCACTTGCAGGTCTTTTTGTTTCATCTGAATTCTTTGCTGAAATTCCTTCTGTGTTTCACCCATTTTTTTCTACCGAAAGGGAAAAATATGACAAAATGAGTTTGTTTCATTAGCTGAGATCATATTTTAATGTATTTCAATCGCCCTGTCCAGCGTGGACCCCAGCCCTGTGCCCTGGGGAGGCTCCAGGTGGATGGAAATTCTTAAATGATTTAGATAGATAGATTCTTTATTGTCATTGTATGTCATACAATGAAACTCTGTTTGGTGCAATCCCATTAGCAGGTTCTTAAAACATAATTCAGAAAAAACATTCACTCATACTCTTCACACATTCATTCCTACTGTAAACATCTACAAAATTTAATTAACTACATATGCACAAATTATGGCAAGAATTAGTATAAGAACAACAATATTGCACATAGGAGTAAAGTATTACACAGGTCCATGGCAGTGAAATATGAGATATTGCACAAAGTCCATGATGGAAACAGTAAGGGATACACATGACTGTACGTAGTATAAACTGGAAAAAGATCTTCTGACTCCTGATCCCAGTGATATCATCATTTAAAAACTGCATTTTGTCCCTGATCCGTCCTTCGGTTACTGCTCGCAACCTTGGGGTTACCATGGACAATCGTCTGTCCTTTTCCTCACATATCGCCAACGTTTCCCGCTCTTGTCGGTTTCTCCTGTTTAATATCAGAAGGATACGTCCATTTCTTTCCACACATGCTACCCAGATACTCGTTCAGTCCCTCGTCATCTCCCGCCTTGACTACTGCAACTCGCTCCTAGCGGGTTTACCACTGAGCGTCATTCGTCCCCTCCAACTGATTCAGAATGCAGCTACTCGACTTGTTTTCAACCTTCCCAAGTTCTCCCACACCACTCCTTTGCTGCGCTCCCTACACTGGCTTCCTGTGGCTGCCCACATCAGATTCAAAACACTGATGCTCGCATACAAAACCAAAAATGATCTGGCTCCATCCTACCTAAAAGACCTCATCACACCCCGCACTAAACCACGATCTCTCCGATCCTCCAGCACTGCTCGACTGGTCCCACCACCCCTCAAGGCACAAGGAAGACACACCTCTCGGCTCTTCTCTGTTCTGGCACCAAGTCACCCAGCCTAACCCTAACCCTAACCCTAACCCATCCTACCTAAAAGACCTCATCACACCCCGCACTGCACCACGATCTCTCCGATCCTCCAGCACTGCTCGACTGGTCCCACCACCCCTCAAGGCACAAGGAAGACACACCTCTCGGCTCTTCTCTGTTCTGGCACCAAGTTAGTGGAATGAACTCCCCCTAGATGTCTGAACAGCTGAGTCACTGAATGTCTTCAAAAGACGACTTAAAACACACCTTTTCCAGAAATACCTGAATTAGCACTTCTGGCATTATACTCAGTTCTTTCCTTTTATATATAAAAATAAAAAAAAATAATAATAAATGAAAAAAAAACGCACTTTCCCAACAGAGTATTAGATCGATGGTATTCATAGCCTTGGTTTTATTGAGGTAGTATCGGGAAAAAAATCATTGTAGAGTCTTAAAGCACTTATGTAAGTCGCTCTGGCTAAGGGCGTCTGCCAAATGCTGTAAATGTAAATGTATTGACTCTGGTTATCTTTGTCTAATATTAAAATTTGTTCAAAGATCTGAAACATGTAAGTGTGACAAATCAGAAATCAAAAATACCTTCCCAAGTCTCTTTTTTACTTACAGAAACCTATTTATTGGTTCATTTATTATCATAAATACCAATATCTAGTTGTTAGATAATGATTATGTACACTAGAAAGTGATGGTTAACTAAAGTTTATGTTAACACTGAGCTCAGCAACTTCTTTCTGCAACTAAGATATTTGCTTGTAAGTAACACTTAGTTTGTGGTTAATTAATACATTAAGTAAGAGTTGGTTCATGGTTAATTAAGAGCTTACATTTGTGGCCCATCAAGTAAAGTGTTACTGGAAATATTCAGTAATGCATATGTCTGTGCGTTTTCTTTTCAGTTTTCCTTTACCTCAGTCTCTTTGCCTTCAGAGCAGAGCACTTATGAACATAAAGACAAAAAAACATTTTATGTCTTGTGTGGGAAGGGGGGTAAATAAACACTTCCATTCTTTTGTGGAAATGATGTCTGTATTTTTGTAAATGTATAAATTAAGTAATCAGAAAAAAAATATATCGCACAGAAGACAATAAATGGTCAGGATCAATGAGCCATTTGGAACTGGTTCTCATCCACTGTGACACTGGTTTCTGCCATTTTACCATGAACACTGATAGGATTCAGTTTCGTTTTCTCTCACAGTCGTCTGTGTCTGAGAGTGGGAGGAGCTTCCTGCTTCTCAGGCTGCGGTGTTTGTTTACCGTATGAACCAGACTAGCGGCTACGAGCTACTTCCTGTTGCATGTTTCCATTTTCAATTTTTCTATTTAATTTTCCAAC